CAGTTGATGTTGGATAGCAATTGATGTTGGATAGCAGTTGATGTTGATAGCAGTTGTTGGATAAAGCTGATGATAATGTATATGATTGATGTTTGATAGCAGTTCATGATATTGGATAGCAGTTGATTGATGTTTGATAGCAGTTGATTTTGGATAGTAGTTGATATTGGATATTAGTAGATGTTGGATAGCAGTTGGTGATATTGGATAGAAGTTGATGTTGGATAGCAGTTGATGTTGGATAGCTGTAGAAGTTGGATAGCAGTTGGTGATATTGGATAGAAGTTGATGTTGGATAGAAGTTGATGTTGGATAGAAGTTGATGTTGGATAGCAGTTGATGTGGATAGCAGTTGTTATAATATTTCATTTGTTGCTATAGATCACTTTAAAGATGACTCCTTGTGCAGAAATTCTCCATATGTTTCTATGAATCTGTAAAATACACTTTGAGGTTAGAACTGTTTCCTTTCCTACAAAATTCACTTAAAATCCACTCTTGTAAAAAGAATGATATTTTTTACTTTAATCTAGTTACGTAACATTGCATTAGTGTATGCTTTCCAACTTTATAATTGATTACAGAAGTCTCAAAATTTAAATGAATAAACATTTTCCTGCCCATTTATCCCTAATTACTTGTATTCATTCTTTAGAAATGTGGTTACTTTTCCCGCGTCGTTATTTAGTTCTTCCTATCCCTCTATGGTCATAAATTACCTGTTGTTACCATGGATATATCAACAATACGTTTTATTCATATGACGTGTGTGTTCAAAGTATCCACGTTTGACTGTTGTGCAAACGTGTATTGTGTTTACGAGAAGAATCCTTAGCTTACGTCATGGGCGCATACATTTTGTATACGTCACATCCGTTTTAGCTGTCGCATGTAATTACTGTTTTCAAGCTCACAGGAACGGCTTCCAAGTCTGTTTTGATATCATGTTTTATAATATGTTTTTATTTTTTTAGTCGAAAGAACTTTTGGGACATAAAATACCACAAGAAAATACGTATACACAAAGATACATTACCAAGCTGTAAATAAGTCATTTCAAAAGCTTTTCGTATTAGATATTTTCGAAATAAAATTACAAAGTGAATCAATTTTAAATAATGCATTAATAATTTATGCATCAGTTCAAAGAATGTAAATTTTTTCTGCGTAAGCTTTTCTTCAATGTTGCTTTAAACCCAAACGAGGAAGTTTAGGTTTGTGACGTAAACTAAGGAATTATAAAATGAGCGATGATTATGAGAAATGTAATGAAAATTGATTTAAAACTTTTGAAAAAGACATTACATAATGTCAACTACATGACCGTGCAAATTTTACCAATCCTCTGTTGTGAAAGTGTAGAGCGTGTGGATCCATCTCTTGACTACTTTGTATAGTGAACGCTTTTCAATGGCGTCTTTATTTATTTTTGAAGGCTTTTGTCTGTCTTTCGATTCGTATATTTGTCATCCTTGATTCATTTTTTACAGGATAACGTTCTCCTCGTTTCTGGTGGCGTTGACAAGAACATTAAGATTTGGGGTTTGGATTTTGGTGATTGTCGAAATCTTATTCGCTATGATGACAGGTGCGGACAATGTAATTTTAAATGACAGATACGCAATTTTATGATAGTAATATATGATAGCCTAGGTACAAGTCAATTATATCCTACCTATACACTCGTATCCTATGTACTCATCTTCATTTTACCATATAGCCCTCTTACCCTGGTTACATCATTGTTCATCAATCCACCATACCTCGTACGTCTATAACATACTAGTAAACCACGTCCTCAATTGTTTTATACGTAGATTTTCTTCATATTTTTTTCCCTCATGTAATCAACATTGCACCCCACAATACCTACTTGTACTTTCATTGTATACTTTATATTCTCATGGTATCAACATTACACCTAGTAATACCTACATATACTTTCATTGTGTACCTTATATTCTCATGGTATCAACATTACCTAGTAGTACCTACATGTACTTTCATTTAGTATACCTTATATTCTCATGTTATCATTATTTCACCTAGTAATACCTACATGTACTTACATTCATGTACCTTATATTCTCTGTTGCATTGCCAACATTACACCTAGTAATACGTACATGTATATTCGCTATTTTATATTATAACAGCTTTAATCTTCTTTTAGTGTCATGGCGGTTGCAGTTCGTGCAAAAACTCATTATTTCTTCCAGTGCAAGTAAAGATAAAACGATAAAATATTGGGACGCTGACAGATTTCTTCATGTTACGACCTTAGAGGTCATCATTCAGAAATATGGAGTCTTGCAATAAGCCATGACAGCGAGTCTGTTGTAGTAATGGACGGTTTTAGATAATGTCGAGTTTGTTGTAATTGTATCCAGGTATGGAAGGTTTTGATAATGTCGAGTTTGTTGTAAGTGTCAAGTATGGACGGTTTTAGATAATGTCGAGTTTGTTAAGTGTCTATTATGGAAGGTTTTAGATAATGTCAGATTTGTTGTAGAATTAATGAAATTATGGACGGTTTTAGATAATGTCAGGGGATTTATTTGTAATATCCAAGTATGGAGTTTTGATAATGTCGAGTTTTGTTGTAAGTGCCAAATTATGGAAAAGGTTTTCGATAATGTCGAGTTTGTTGTAATTGTCAAGTATAGAAGGTTTTAGATAATGGCGAGTTTGTTGTAAGTGTCAGTATGGACGGTTTTTAGATAATGTGAGTTTGTTATGAATTGTAAGTATAGAAGGTTTTAGATAATGGCAGATTTAGTTGTTGTAGAAATTATCAAGTATGGAAGGTTTTGGATGATGTTAAATATACGTTTGCTTGTTTGAATGAAAGAATGAGGCGAAAACGTTTACTCAGATCAACCCTTATTCTTACTACTCCAGTTTCAAAGCATTGTTTATATCTTACAGATCAGTGGGTCACATGATAAATCGTTAAGACTCACAGGAACGAACGGACGAACCGTTGTTTGTCGAGGAGGAGAAATGGTACTATACATAAATCTGTGGCTGGAGCTGCAAAAATATACATATAGTACCTGTACTTTCAATGTTTATTTTTAATTTTTTCTCCCAGGAGAGGGAAGCAGCACCTGACGCCGTAACAGGAGTTGAAACAATTGTAAGATTCTTTTTACTATGCATGAGATATGTATGTCCATCTTCTTAACTACTCTGTATTTGTTATATACTCACTATGGAAAATATCTTGTGGAAGGTGCATTTATTGCACTAAATAAATTCATTTATTTAAACCATGATGTTGTTTAGATTCCAATTGAACAAGACACAGAAGCTGTTAAAGCTGGCAAGAAAACTATCGAGACGATCAAAGGAGTTAGTTTTGTTGTTGTATTAGCATTGCAAGTTAATTTTATTGGTTTGTGCCCAGTCCCCTGTAGTACCTGAAAGATACCTCCAAAATCATACAGATATATCGAAAACTGTGGTACACCAAAGACATGTGAAGAACATGCATATCTGAGGTCAAATGTTTAAACTTACATTGAGACTGGGTACTTGGGTATATTATGGTAAGAATATAGATACTTGGAAGATAGTACAGTATGATTAGGGATACTTGGAGGGTATTACAATTAATATAATATACGCCTGGAATTACTATGTTGATGTTGTTCTCTTATCTTTTCATTAGGCTGAAAGAATCACATGGAGGCCATTGAATTGTATAGGAAAAGGAACAGAAAAGAACTTGAACATAAAGCGAGTCAAGTGACAAAAGACAAAACGGTAGGTTTGTTGTTTCTGCTCTGCACATCTACAAATGTTTATGTTATACGTATAGACAATCTTAAATCTTAAATGAAATGTTTGTTATTTCTTGCTCACATCTACAAAATATTTGTAATTGCTACGTATGGACAATCTTAAATCTTAAATAGAAGGTTTATTATTTCTTGCTCTGCACATCTACAAAATGTTTCTGTTATACGTATAGACAAATCTTAAATCTTAAATGAAATGTTTGTTATTTCTTGCTCGCACATCTACAAAATGTTTATGTTATACGTAGACAATACCGTCTTAAATGAAAGGTTTGTTATTTCTTGCTCTGCACATCTACAAAATGTTTATGTTATACATTATGAACAATCTTAAATCTTAAAATAAAATGTTTATTGTTTCTTGCCCTGCGCATCTACAAAATGTTTTGTTGTACGTATAATAGACAATCTTAAATCAAATGAAGGTTTGTTATTTCTTGCTCTGCATCTACAAAATGTTATGTTATACGTATAGACAATCTTAAATCTTAAATGAAAGGTTTGTTGTTCTTGCTCTGCACATCTACAAAATGTTTATGTTATACGTATAGACAATCTTAAATCTTAAATAAAATGTTTGTTGTTTCTTGCTCTGCACATTTACAAAATGTTTATGTTGTACGTATGGACAATCTTAAATCTTAAATGAAAGGTTTGTTATTTCTTGCTCTGCACATCAACAAAATGTTTCTGTTATACATTATATAGACAATCTTATATCTTAAATGAAAGGTTTGTTATTGTTGCTCTGCACATCAACAAAATGTTTATGTTATATAATAGACAATCTTAAATCTTAAATGAAAGGTTTGTTATTCTTGCTCTGCATCTACAAAATGTTTATGTTATACGTACAGACAATCGCCAAATCTTAAAGAACAATTTTAAATAACTGACCGGCAACATCACAAAACTTTCTTTGACTAAACACCTAATTGGGATCACGCCCTGCATCGTTATTTAACTCTACCCATGAAACCACCAATATATTTTCTTAATCTCTAATTAGGGCAACGCCCTACATAGTTATTAAAGCCTACCTGTGAAACAAGCTCAGTATTTTCTACTCTCTAATTAGGGCAATGCCTACCTGTTATTAAACCCTACCTGTGAAACCACCACCAATATTTTCTTATTCTCTAATTGAGACCGCCCTGCATCGTTATTTTACCCTACCATGAAACCACCAATAATATTTATTGCTCTCTAATTGGGCAACGCCTTACACTGGTATTAAACTCTACCAATAAAAACCATTATTTTTCATACTGTCTAATTGGGACCACGCTGCATTGACCTAACCATGAGACTACCACCATTATTTCCACACTCTCTAATTGGAACCACGCCCTTCACCCTTCACTATTGTCTGATTTATACAGAAATCCCAGTTTCGTTTTTACACAGAAGTTCTGTTTGTTCTCACATACACGTTTCTTTCCTTTGAGCAGCTTCCAAAGCGCGTCGTTCATCCGATTCTTTCTGCCTTTGGTAATGTCAGTGTGAAGTTTACTATATCTTCAATGTTTCCATTTAAGAACAACATGAAACCACGTGATACAAGATGAAAGCCACGTGCATGTTGAACATGATTAATGTAAAAATATTAATGTAATGGTAAAGATTGCAAGATTTTTATACGTACGTATTTAGATAAAGGAAAAAATGGATGAGATGGCACACATTTTATAATGACATATATTTGTAAATGTAGATCGTACAGGTTGGTATAGTCCTGAGAAGGACTGTTTTTGTTGTTGACTGACGTTTCGTCAACCCTAGCGGTAGCCATCTTCAGAGTCGAATGTGGAGTAAACGTCAGGTTAACGTATTGTTATCTGGTTCTTACGTAACAATCTGAACAGCCTGTTGTGTGTTTACTTTATTACGATCATTTGGACGACAGAGCGAACAACGCTTGCTGACTACATACGTTTTGCAAAACAACGTCAGACGCATACGCACAACAACAATGGTTCAACTACCGCTGCAAAGTTTTGGTCTTGTTCCGGCAGGACTTAGAATTAAGTACTCGTTGAACACACAGAGGCTATTCAGATTGTTACGTAAGAACCAATAACAAGCTAACTAACGACGTTTACTCTTCATTGACTTTCTGAAGATGACTACCACTAATTAATCAGTCAATCATTTATCAGTCCTTCTCCAGGATGTCCAACCGACGATCTACATTTACAAACATCAAAAATACTCAGGTTCAAACCATTTACTTTATTTATAATAACTCTAGAAAAAATGAGAGTTGAATGTAAAATACACAGGATTTGTAATAATGAAATAAAATATCTTGACCTCGAAGATGGAGGCCATAAATATTGTTGTTCTACGATTGAATGTCTGTCTATGTCAACCTGCTTTTCCCGGACCATATACTTACGACGTTTTTAAAAAATTTTTTCTTCTCACAGCCTGTGCAGTATGTACTTCTAGTGGTGAAAAAAGTAAAGTCAAGGTAAGGTTGAAGTATTATAAAGAGCAGCAAATTATCCCGTGAAGAATCGTTGTTTGTACTAGAAGTTAATTTAGAGCATTTTAAAAGTAAAGTATGGCAAAGTGTCTCGTTGGAGTTACTAAAGGAATTAAATATTAAGTGTTATTAGAATAAAGTAGAGAGGTATCTTATGAAGCAAGTGTTTTTCTACAAAACATTTAAATTATTTAATTTCAGCGAACTTGAAGAATCATTGCTTGTGTTACCGTTTGACTATGTTATTGATGTACTGAAACTTCTTCTTGAGTGGATTAAGGTAAAGTTAAATGTATTTTGACTCCTGTGTCCTTACTTCACATGGTACAGGTTTCGTTTTCAAGTTTTGCTCATCCCAGATGTACGTGATTGTTTAGAATGGTTGGGAAACAGAGTTAAGTTGTCGATGTCTGTTCTTTCTGCTGCGGTAAGATTAAGACGTAATTTTGTTTTTGGTTTCGATCGATATTTTTTTCAATACGTCTGTCTTTAAATCATTCCCTAAGAATTTCATCACGTTCCATCAGTATTTCTTAGTATATGATACTATTGGTGAGATACCTAGGTACAATGCTGGATACTTTTTAATTTTTTTCATATTTTGGTACGATAGAATACATCACAACAAGATCATATCCACTCCTGAACTCCTGCCAGTAATAGACTCTATCAGATCACATTGTCGTAGCCGAGTTCGCGAAATGAAGGTAGGAAGTTGTACGTTTATGAAACCGCAAGTATCGCCAAATTTCTCCCGTAATTTTACCATGCGCTGCACGACCGTTAATTTATTCGTGGTAAATTTTGTCGACACTTTAATGACTGTAAACTAAACATGAAAAAGTCGTCAATTCTGATTGGTTAAAAGCAATTAAGGCTTTCTTTCACAATACAGTGCCAATGTTAATACAGAGTTTAACTTTGTATTAAAAAGGTTCATAGAATATTGTTTTGTGTATTAACAACAGAAAAAGTATGTATTTAGAAAAAAATTTTCAAGAGTATGAAGATTTCATTTTTCTCTAGTTCTTTAAATTTTGCTAAATTAATCGTCATGAGTTTTTGAATTTTTTTCTTCAAACTTCCACAGATGACTTTTTAAATCATTTGAACTAAACAAATGACTTTTCAAAACATTTGAACTAAACAAATGACTTTATAAATTATATGAACTGAACAAATTTTCTTGAATATTTACATCGACGCCAATAAAACTATTGCACACTTGTAATGATTGCTTTATCTTTAGGATACTGTTGGATTCAATTTTGCGGGACTACAGTTTATTCAGAGACAGCTTGAGAATCGTGACGTTACATTCTTTGGTGAAACACGCAAAGAGACTGGGACAAATACGAAAAAAGAAGAAGACGATTGTGAGGAAATTTCGATAAAGGTTGTTTTGCTGTTGATACTCTGACAACTAAAACGATTGTCTTCGAAAGTACTTAATGGCTGAGCTTGATTGCCGTCTATAGCAATCCTCGAAGATCCCTTACCCAAACTGTACCCCTAGAGGGACACGTAAAATCCCCATGTGTCCTTTAAATTACAAGCTACGTGATCAGAAGTTTTTAAGTTTTGCTTGATTCAGCAGTTATTGATACTGGATCAGGCTTAAAAGCTATAGAAAGGAATTTCGTTTTTGGTTTTTTTATAACTAAATATTGGGCTAACCTGATATGGACAATCAAACGAGTCTTTTACTTCTATGACGTTAAAATACACTTTTTGCGTCTCTAATTCTAGCTCCCAGCTACATAAATAATCTTACTGCAAACTGATTTCAGAAAAGTTAAATATAAATGAAAGTGAGATCATCAAATTCAACATCACAACTATCGGTGAATACCTCCATCGAATGAAAATTCAGAATTAAAATAAGTTATTACATTACGTAAATTGCATATTTCCCAGTTATAAAAAAGAAGAGTGTCACAGAAATTAAGGAGTAATTCCAACTATAATCAGGAAGAAATAATGAATCGATTAACAATTATCAAGCAATTCACCCATCTACAATACTTATAAACAAAAAATGTAATTTATGAGTTAGCAAAATAAATATAGAAAAAACTTCATCCTCATATGACAAAGTAGTCTTCTGGTCATTTCAGCATTCAAACAAAAGGGATGTCGAATTGTCATAGTTCATCTAAGATATGGATTTACTCTCATGAAAATGACCCAACAAACACTCCCTCATTTGGAGATTTACATTTCAGACTATATAGATTGCAAACGTACTAATCATATACATTATAAAAGCTCCATACAAGTTTCTTAGCTAACATAAATAACTGTTCCAGTAAATAAATGACTATTGAAAACTTGAAAATACAAATGTTTGTATTGAATATTATCAAGAATATATATAAACTTTTTTAAATACAACTGTTGTGGTTAGGACTTTAGTGTAAATTTTTCGTTAATTCACGGAACCACAAATCCATTTCTTCTTTTCTTCTATCTCGCTGTAAATTTTCTCAAACACGGAAGCTTTTTAGCAACTAGTAATTTAAAGCTGCATTGTCAATTTCTATAGATGGTTTATTACCAAATGAAGATTGTCGTACATTATTCCAGTATTAACATATCAGGACTTTTGTTTGAAATTGTATTGCTCGTTGAAAAAATGTTTTGCTTTTTCGTACTCTCCCATATCACTGTAAACCAAATCCAGATTGTTGTAAGTTGTCGCAATATTAACATGGTCAGGTCCAAATGCTTTTGTTTCAATTTCCATTGCTCGTTCATAACAATCTTTTGCTTTTTCGTACTCTCCCATATCACTGTAAACCAAACCCAGATTGTTGTACGTTGTCGCGATATTAACATGGTCAGGTCCAAATGCTTTCGTTTGAATTTCCATCGCTTGTATGCAAAATGTTTGGCTTTTCGTACTCTCCTATTTTACCGTAAACAAAACCAGATTGTTGTAAGTTGTCGCAATATTCACATGGTCAGGTCCAAATGCTTTCGTTTGAATTTCCATCGCTTTATGCAAAATGTTTGGCTTTTCGTACTCTCCTATTTTACCGTAAACAAAACCCAGATTGTTGTTAGTTGTCGCAATATTCACATGGTCAGGTCCAAATGCTTTCGTTTGAATTTCCATCGCTTGTATGCAAAAATGTTTGGCTTTTTCGTACTCTCCTATTTTACCGTAAACAAAACCCAGATTGTTGTAAGTTGTCGCAATATTAACATGGTCAGGTTCAAATGCTTTTGTTTTAATTTCCATCGCTCGTTCGTAAAAATTTTTTGCTTTCTCGTACTCTCCCATATTTTTGTAAACCAAACCCATATTGCAGTACGTTGTTGCAATATTAACATGGTCAGGTCCAAATGCTTTCGTTTCAATTTCCATTGCTTGTTCGTAAAAATCTTTTGCTTTTTCGTACTCTCCCATATGATCGTAAAACGAACCCAGATGGCAGTACGTTGTTGCAATATTAACATGGTCAGGTCCAAATGCTATTGTTTCAATTTCCATCGCTCGTTCGTAAAAATCTTTTTCTTTCTCGTACTCACCCACAATTTTGTAAATAAACCCAGACTGCAGTACATTGTCGCAATATTAACATGGTCAGGTCCAAATGCTTTCGTTTCAATTTCCATTGCTCGTTCGTAAAAATCTTTTGCTTTTTCGTACTCTCCCATATCATCGTAAAACGAACCCAGATGGCAGTACGTTGTTGCAATATTAACATGGTCAGGTCCAAATGCTTTCGTTTCAATTTCCATTGCTCTTTCGTAAAAATCTTTTGCTTTTTCGTACTCTCCCATAATTTTGTAAACCAAACCCAGATTGCAGTACATTGTCGCAATATTAACATGGTCAGGTCAAATGCTTTTTGTTTCAATTTCCATTGCTCGTTCGTAAAATCTTTTGCTTTTCGTACTCTCCCATATTTTTGTAAACCAAACCCAGATTGCTGAACGTTGTCGCAATATTAACATGGTCAGGTCCAAACGCTTTTCTTTTAATTTCCATTGCTCGTTCGTAAAAATCATTTGCCTTTTTGTACTCTCCCATGTCACCGTAAACCAAACCCAGATTGTTGTACGTTGTCGCGTTATTAACATGGTCAGGTCCAAATGCTTTTGTTTTAATTTCCATTGCTCGTTCGTAAAAATCTTTTGCTTTTTCGTACTCTCCCATATCACCGTAAACCAAACCCAGATTGTTGTACGTTGTCGCGTTATTAACATGGTCAGGTCCAAATAATTTTGTTTGAATTTTCATCGCTTGTTCATAAGAATCTTTTGCTTTTTTGTATTCTCCATTCTTCCAGAGCAACTTACCCAGATCGTTGTACGAATATGAAACATCTACATGATTGACACCTAACGCTCTAGTTTGAATTGTTATTATGTCCTCAAGTACATTGGTGGCCTCTTCATAGTTGCAAAATTTTTCTAATACATTTACAAAGTAATTGGCAATTTTCAAATTTTTTTCATCAAGTTTTTGTTCTCTATAGAAAAAAAATAACGATTTCTCGTTTATCAACTTATTTTGAAAGTGCTTAAATGACGAATTGTTTAAGAATTTAATAAGATGCGGAATTATTTTGATTTGATCTTCTCTATCTTCAAAGTGATAAAGTGCCCAAGCGACTTGACACGCAAGAAGAGACATCTTAGTCGAATTATTTTCTTTTTGTTTACTGCAAGAGGTCTGCCAAGATTGATAATTTATGATGGCTTCATGTACAACGCGATGCAGGCGGATGTCGTTGTTTTCCGTTTGAAGAATTAACGAACAATGCTTTAATTGAAGGCATATATCTTCTGCTGACTTATGTGGATCAAGGCTTTTAATAAATTGTACGATAATATCTTGTGGTAACGGATCGAAAGATATTATCGAGAAAAGACTAAAAATTTTTTCCATTAATATGGATTTTTGAGCACTTTTTTGTACTGCCAACTCAACAGTTTTTAATAAAGTTGTTTTACCTCCAGAATATGCTTTATTGATCTTTTGAAATGTGGCATCCATGCTCTGTCGCTCTCCTTCATTCAACTTATTGAAATATTGCTCCCACGTGAATTCCAGATTTGCACTTTTTACACTACCTACGTAGTAAGCAGCACTTGCCAGGACCAATGGTTGACGATCTAATTTTTCTGACAAATTTATTAAAAACTCTTCATCATGATTATGAACATCGGTATAGACAGATAGAAGCTGACGACATTCTTTATCATTCATACCATGACTGATTGAAATGTGTTTGTTTAGATTGTCATCTGGTGGTATAGCATCTGTATTTTGAACAGTTACTATAATTTGTCCATTTTTCCAATTATGATCACCAACTTGAGGTAATAATTGATAAATTTTATCAAGTTCAACCACGTTATCTACAACAATCCACCATATTTTCCAAGATTTCAGTTTTTGTGTCAGCAGGAAATGAAAGTGTTTGATTCTGTCTTCGCTGCTTTTTACCTTTTTTAAAATATTTTCAATAAAATGTTCATGGATATTCAAACGTTGACAAAGTTCATTATAAGTTTTTAAGAGAGAGTCAGCATCTTTTCCTTCGAGTGTCATCACAAATGTAGTTTTATTTTCCGAGTCAACAGAGTTATACATTTTGTCGCAAATTTGTCTGGCTAATTGAGATTTACCACTGCCAGGATTACCAGAAATATAGTAATATGTCAGTTCATTGTTGTTAGTACTGCGCAAGTTATTGAGATCTGCTGTAATTTGATTAAGTAATTTTGTACGTTTAACAATGCCATGATTTGGTTTGCAAGGAAGCACTTGAAAAGAATTAAATTTGTTTCGTTGTCTTTTTATTTTATTAATTTCATTGAATGAAAATCCTAGATCTTGAAACGAATTTTCAATATCAAAAACCATTTTGTCAAATTCGGTATCAGATACTTTACCACTACAATAATGGATAAACTTGTTTCTAACAATACGAAGTACATCAACTGCAGATCTAACTTTTGGGTTAACTTTTGTTCCAATTGAGTTGGAATACAGTATTGCTGCAAATAGTGTTGTACAATCCCACTTACTGGTATCACCATCTCTAAAATTTAACAGAATATGTTTGCCAAGAGGTGGCTTTTTTGTTTTTTCAATATTGAACAACTTCTGGCCACTAACTTTTGTATTTTCCCATGCTCCAAGGGATCCTTCGTAATGAGTGTTCCACTGTTCGATAAATAAATCAACAAGTTTCTTTTCAACAACATCTGTAAGTAATTTCTGCATGTAGTAGTTATTCCTTTCTTCTTTTGACTCCATCTATGGATCATAAAATGATCATAGGATGAGCACTAATTATTTATAAATACAATTTATGGACAACTGAAATAGTTGAAGATTGAGTTGGTAAATTTACAATTGTACATGAAATTGGTTAACTAAGGTGGCAAGGGAAACACAGA